CATGCACAACGAAAATACCAGTGATTCCTATTGGGAAGAGAGTCAGGTACTGCTAAAACTGCCGCAGTTTGGTGCCCACCTTCATAACTGAAGGGAAATGCTGAAATAAGTACCCCTGAATTCCACACTTCTGGCTTAGGTGGTCTTGAAGAGCCCTTCCAGCCTGGACGTTCCTTGGTACTGGGGTGGGGGGCGGTCTGGGGACTGTGTCTGTATTTACGCCAGGCGATGGCAAGAGGACTGTCCAGCAGCTCTGGTCTGGCTTTACCATCTGCATCGGAGCGTCTACTCCTGCACTTTGCACCTGGGCAACCCTGGGCAAGTTGCATAACCTAGTGAAAGCTCAGTCTCTCCATCTGTAAATGGGCATAATTATACCACCTACTTCAGTGGGCTGTTGTGAAGGCTATGGGAAAAATAAACGTATGAATTATTCAGCTAAGGCCCTGGCCTCTCCTTTTCATCTCTGTTTTAGCTGTGTCGTTTGCATGTGTTCAACATTATAAATTCATTCTTGGATGTGGGTGTGGCATACTCTATAAATAAGTACTAAACTGAGGCCTCCTTGCTACAGTACCCCTGACAGACACCATCAGCTCCGCCTGAGCCTAGGCACATTCCTGCCTCGCCACCAGCCATTCCATTCCCCCTGGGGAGACCTGCTGGCTACCAGGGAACTGCACTTCGCCCCGCCCTCCCCGTCATGGCTCCTGGTTCTGGACTCTGGAGCAGCACCTGGGACCAGCAGCCATCACTTTCGGGCCACTTAGTGGGTGCCAGGCACTGTTCTGAGCACTTTAGATATGGCATTTTGTTTACTGTTCTTCCAACTCTCTGGGTCAGGGACTCTCATTGCCCTTCTTTACAGATGGGTAAACTGAGGCTCAGAGTGGGTAAGTAGCTTGCTCGAGGTCCATGCCTAGTCAGCGGAGAAGAGGAGATTTGAACTCCAGCATTCTGACTTCCAATCTACCCCATTAATCACTGCTCTAGACTGCCTTTTCCACGGGGCGCCCTTCAGAGTTTGAAGACAGCCGCCCCGGGCTCCAGAGCCTTCACCAGGAGGACCACAAGATGGGGCTGAGCATCCTGGGGTCATCCCACAAGCACCCATAGCCAGGTCTCCCTGGAGCTCACCTCGGGCAGCCCTGACACACTGACGAGGAGGTTACTTTTTCAGCTTCTGGTGCCCAATTGTTTATCTTATTTTTTAAATTACATGCATAGTCCATAAATTCATATGTTGCAAAATTTCAGACACTCTGTCCTTCCGTTCTCAATGTAATGCTTTTTCATCTTTTCATGAGTAAATCAAAAGATAGGTGGCTGGGCTCTTGGTAAATATCAAAGGGGCAATGCATTTTATTTCAGTTTACTCATTTTCCCCGAAAGCTAATTATTAGGGCTAAACAAAGAAACAGCAACAATGACAGCAAACAAAACAAAACAAAACAAAACCATTGCGCTAATGGCTCCCAAATGTTCAGCTATTTACTAAACAGACCACGGTGCATTTGGACCAACTGACCTCTGGTCAGAAGTTAACCCTGTTGCTGGTTGACAGTAGTCTACCTGTCACCCATCTATTTATGTAGACATGTGCATACTTTGTGCATATCGGCTGAGGGACCAGACAAAAATACAAGCTGAGTAAGGAGGTAATAATAGCTGCCCCCAGTCCAAAGGCTGAAAGGATTGTGGCAGCAAGGCAAGGAGAGCCAGGCGGGAAGGGAGCAGGAAAGAGTCTGACTTTGCCTCCTCGTTCCTCTACCTGAAACAGACCAGGGAGACAGGCCCCTGGCCAAGCAACTCCCAGCCACCTCTGGAACCTAGCTCCTTAGTAACCGACCGCATGGGTCCAGCTTAGTGGTCCCGCCCAGTTCTCCTGGCGCAGGGGAGGACCTGGGTCTCACGCAGCCTTGCCAGGGTGGGGGGCTAATGCCTCCGGATTGGTACAGCCCTCACGGGTGCAGAGCAAGTTGGCCGTGGCGGGGAGGAGCTCCTCAGCGACAAACGCTTCTCTCAACTTCCACCCGCATCTGCACCCCAAGACCCTCTCCCGGGATCACATTCCGAACCGTTCCTCGGAAGCTGGGGTGGGGAGGGGTTCGTGGAAGGAAGGGCCTCTGGGAATCCCAGTAAGGCTGCTCCAGGCCCCAGAGGCCGCCGCACGGCTGGGCAGGACCCCGCATCTCCTCCTCGGCTCAACTTGGGCCGGCTCCCTGTCCCCCACGCCACGTTCCAGTAGCCTGTCTGGCTCCAGGGTAGACCTCATGTCACCCACTCTCCTAGCTCGTGCACCGCCTCCCCTCTCTGTTTCGGGGCTGCAAGCTCGTGCGCCTGCTGCCCTGGACTCCCGCCCCCGCAGGCGGAACCCAGCCCCGCCTAGGCCCTCGTCGCGCCGGGCCCCCGCGCTGCCTACCTGGTGCCGTCGGAGCCCCGGGCATCGATGCCCGAGCAGGCCGGGCGCTGGCCCCAGCTTCGCCGCGTAACCCCTTCGTGGGCGCGCGGCAGGCGCGGGCCGCGAGGCGGCTGCGCCTGGGCGGCCGCGGGCCGGAAGGTAGGGCGGGCGGCGGGGCCCGAGGCGGGTTATATGGCCGCGGGGCGGGGAGGCGCCGCGGGGAAGGGGGCGGCCGCGGGCGTTAGCGCCTTCCGCAGCCCGCTGGGCGGGAAGGCAGCGCGGGCCGCTCAGGCGTGGCGGGAGGAGCGCGGGGCGGCGGGGCCAGGCCGGGACCAAGGTTGCAGCCCGGCGCTCCGCCCCCGCAGCTGGCCGCGTCCGAGTCGGGGTCGCCGGCGCGCTCCGCCCCGCTTCCTTCCCGCCGTCTTTTGGCGCGCGTCGCCCCTGCCGAGCCCCGGCGAGGCCGTCCTACTGTCGAGACAAGACTGCGACCTTCAGCCGACTCGGGGGCGCGGGCAAGGGCGCGCGGGAGCGGGGGTGGGGGTGGGGGTCAGAGATGCAGACTCCGCGTCCCGACGCCTTCCTTTCCCCCAGACGCCCCATCTTCCCCGTCACCCAGTCCTATGCCCTCCACCCCCACCGGCGCTGGGCCACTCCGCGCGCCGGGCGCTTGGAATCCGAAGGGCAGCAGAAGAGCCGCGTATGGTAGTGGCGCTGCCATCCTGGTCTGCAGTGTCCGCACTGGCTGTGGCCTACGGGGGACCGGGATAAGGGTCGCAGCCCCAGGACCGAGAGTGAGATGGAGCCGTTCGCGTCCAGGTGGCTCCAGCGGGACTCCTCGGCCGGCCCAGAAGGAGGAGCTGAGGTCACGGTCGCGCCTCGACCCCGCCCAGCATTGCGGATCGGCGGGGACCCTCCGGGCGCGATTCTCTCGGCCCCAGCCCGCTCTCTTCCAGGGCGGAGGTTGTGCCCGAAGGCCTCGAGGGAGAACTCGGGACGCAAACACTCCCGGGTCGCAGCCCGCACCCTACTCCCTCCCCCAGCACCGCCTCCTGGCCCCGGGTGCTGGATTCTGTTCCGCGTTTTCGCAGGTACGCGCGGGTGTCTGCGGCGACACGTGTGTCGAGCACTAAAACTTGCTCTCCACGCACAGAGACCAGCCTGAGGCCGAGGCTTCCCTCGGGCCCGCGACACTTGCAGCTCCATGGGCCATCCCCCTACCCCCGTAGGGCAGGCGGGGTCTTCCAGGGCACCCACCCCATACGCAGGGCCTCGGCTGAAGAATCCGACACAGGATGAGTTTCGAGCGGCTCTTGGCGACGGGGACCTGCGGTGCGCTGCCTTCTCCTGCTCAGGGGACCCGTTATCTGCCTCCGAACCGATGCCCCCAGGCTAGGGGGACCTTCGAGTCAGTGTCCCCACGGAACCGCGCGCGAGCCGGCTGGTGCAGACCGGGTTCTCTGGCCGCACGGAATCCACACCTCACCCAGCGCGCCTGGCAGCCTTCTACACACCTTTATTGCTCACCTACTGTTTGCGAGGCGCGGGAGGTGGAGACACAGAGACGAATCACACACAGGATTTGATCTGCCCAGGCACAGAAAAGGCCGGCACTGCTGAGCAGTACGGGTGCACCCATCCCCTACCCCTTGGTTCTGGGAAGTTGGCAGGCGTCCGCAGGGAGCAGGCCTGGGGCTGGGCGCGCGGAGAAGCGAGGAGGACCCATGCCTGGTCTCTGCTCTCAGAACTCAGGGTCGGGCGCGGGTGTCCGGGTCCGCGCGATCTCGTGGGCTGCAGAGGCGCTGGGGGGCCCAGCGGGGGCGTGGGGAAGGCGGCTGGCTGAGGAAGAGGACTACGGGTCCTGAGTGGGCGAGAGGACCGGCACGCGCTGGGAAGACAGCACAATGGGCAAAGCCAGCGCGGACGCAGGTGCTCTCTCCCATCCGAGCCGAGGGCAGGCTGCGGCTGCGCGCCGGGTCCGGGCCCCAGCGAGGTCCCTCGGCTCCGCGCGGGTCTGAGCGCAGACGAACGCGGCGAGGAACCGGCGGGTGCGCGCGACCCAGGCGCTCTCCCCGCGGAGTGAGGGTCAGATTCGTTCTCCCCCAGATGCCAGCAGCTCCGAGAGTGAGGGAGGGTCTCGCTGCAGGCAGGCTGCCCGGTTTAGCCAAAAAACAAACGCAAACGAGTATTTATTTATACACCATGTATAAAATATAACATATGTATATAAACTATTACATATTTATGTGTGAATATATTTACATATAAGTATAAATACATATATAAACATAAGTACACAGGACGCCCAGTTACATTTAAATTTCAGATAAGCATGTAGTTCTCTAGCATAAATATGCCCCATGCAGTATTTGGGAACACATTTATCCTAGAAAGGATTCGTTGTTTATCTGAAATTCAACTTCAGCGCCCCTCCTGCCTTTCCTTAGCAACCTATCTGGACCGGACCCGGAGGCCTCCCACCCTCCAGCATCGCGGAATCCCGCGTCGGAAGAACCGGGGCGGTTCCTTTAGCGCGAACTACAAGCCCCACAATGCCGCGCGGTCGTCCGGAGCCCTGATAGGCTCCGGTGCGCTTCCCGCCTTCCATCACTTCCGGCCGCGGAGGCGGCGGTTGCGGCGGTCCCGGCTCCGCGCACGGTGCAGGGGCGCGGGGCTGCGGGCTTGGGGTCCCGGGCGCGAGGTCCGGCGGCCGCCATGAACTTCTCCGAGGTGTTCAAGCTCTCCGGCCTGCTCTGCAAGTTCTCCCCGGACGGCAAGTACCTGGTGAGCGCCCGCGGAGCCTGGGCCGAGGGCGGGTCCTCCGCGGGGACCCCGGGTCGGGGAGCAGCGGGCGGCCGCGGGGCCCGGGGTGCAGGCAGCTCGGTCAGGAGACCTGGGCACGGGACCTGGGCCGGTTCCCCGGGCAGGTGCCGCAGACGGGTGACCTGGGCAGATGCTGCAGACAGAGGACCCGGGCAGGGGACTCAGGCACGGGCCGCAGACAGGTGACCCGGACAGGTACCAGCCTCCCTGCACCTGGGTTTACATCTGTCAAAGGCAAGCAAAAGCATTGCCGTCTTCACACACTTGAGGACACAGGAGATATCAGCTCGTTGTTGTTTTGTCACAAAAAGGCAAATACGTGATTCTATTGGCTGTAAACTGGTGCAATGGTGTAGCTAGTCTCTGTCGTCTTTTTCAGCCGTTTTCCCTGGTGTCTAGCAGGTGCCATATAAATGGTTTAAATAAGTAGCGTTCTATCTCTAGATAAAGAGAGTTGTCCGCACTCCGGGGATTTGGGCTGTTCCTTCCATGGGTGGCAGAATGCTGCTTAAATCGCTGAGCTAGTCTGCACACAAAACTGAAGTTTTGAAATATGCCAATATAACCAGTGTTTATCCTCAGAATCTGGGGGAGGGGATGCGGTGGGTGGGAGATGATTGGCATTGGAAAGCCATTCAGGAAAAAAAAATGATGCATTATAAAAAGTGTACTTAGTTTCTTTTGCTGTCTATTAACTGACTGATGCTTCATGGTTCTTTTTCAGTTTCAGCCTTTATTAATATTCTTTTTGTTCTTGGTCTTTGAAAATATAACTCAAGTTATGTGTCTGCTTATTTTTATGAAAGTGTTATTCTAAATCACATAAAATGTATTCAGCTGCAAAATGCAAAATATCTTTAGTTTAAATGGCATCCCGAAAAACCTTGGTGTATTTTTCAAAGTGCCCCCCCCAAATTAGTTTTTTAAAAGTCATTTGTGAAAATTCCAGCAAATTATAAAGAGAAAGGTTATATTTCCTTGCTTAATTTTGGTACTTTTTTGCTTTTTACACTGGTCGATATTGTGAACACTTGGTAATAATGTTGCTGGTATCGTGTTCTTCGAAGCTCTATCCTAAATACTGAAGAAAGTAGGTCCGTGTTGCCATTTTTAATATCTCGCAACAGATTTGAAGTGATTTTTCCAGGTGTTGATACAAATGTTCCACTTCATAAGGAATTCGTTGTAACTGAGCAGTTTTCAAAGCTGTGGTGTGAAAAAATCAGCCTCGTGACACATGTTTGTTCTAATCTGCAGTCACCCTCCCTCTCCCCCTTTTCTATGGAAAACTTATGTGGCTTTGATTTAATGGGAATCCATAAAACACAAACTAATAATCTAGTTTGACCTTGAAAAGTACCAAAAAGAAGCAATTAACATATAAAAATCAGTTTTTGATTTTAAAACTAATATAATTAACAATCAGTAGCTAAGTACATTCAAACATAGAAATTATTTGCTTAGATATGGATATTATTGACAAATATGGACATGAACCGTATTTTTAAGAAAACAGCATCTCTTAAACACTTTCATAGTCAGTATGTTAATGTAGGTATGTAAGAAAATCCACCCGTTTTTCCCTCCCTTGAGTCTCCTTTACTCACACTGCTACCATGCTCACAACACTTCTGACACCAAATGTGGGGGAGTTTTCCCCCACACCAAGTAATTATCCATGACACTAGCTGGGTGTCCTACAAATTAACTCAATTCTGACACCGTCCGCTTGGAGATTGTGTCAGATCCCGCAGGTTAAGGGCTCAGTCCCACAAGGCTACCCCCCTCACTTCAGGTGCTCAATATGGGGTCCCCAGGCCACCTCCAACTTGGCTAAAAATCAGGGGTTCCCACACCCCCCTCCTCGCGCTCAGTTAATTTGTTAGAGCAGCTCACAGAACTCAGGGAAACGCTTACATTTACCACTTTATTAAAGGGTGTGATTAAGGATGCTGGTGAAGAGCCAGATGAAGAGATGGGGCCAGGACTGGGAGGGTCCCAAGGGCAGGCGTTTCTGTCCCCGTGGAACTGGGGTGCATCACTCTCCCAGTGTGGATGTGTTGCCAGCCTGGAAGCTCTCTGAACCCCGTACTGTTGGGGTTTTAGGAGCCTTCCTCACATAGGTGTGATCAGTTATTAACTTCATTTTCAGCCCTTCTCAAGAGAATGGGGAGTGGGCCTGAAAATTCCAAGCTTCTAGTTATGGCTTGGTCTTTCTGGTGACCAGCCCCATCCAGGAGCCTACCCAGAGTCGCCTCATTAGACCAAGAGATGCTCCTGTCACCCAGGAAATTGCACGGGTTCCAGGAGACCTGTGTCAGCACCCAGGAGCAGAGGCCAATATATATTTTCTATTATCTCATGGTAGGTAAATGAGCAATTATGAAGCGTCCTTACATTTGCACAAGTTAAAACACATATATTGACTTTCTGTTGGTTTGGCTCAGAGTTCGGCCTTGTACAAAGGGAACTCTGGCTTCTGTAGTCATTCTTGTCAGCATGTGAGGCCTCAATTCTTACTCCTCATAAATTGTCTGCAAGTGATAAAACTAGGCGAGAATTTGGTTAGTTCACATAAGAACTTTCTCCCAGTGCTATTTCCTACTTAAGTTTCGTTTTTAACATATGATTAGAGTGGAAAATGACTCAAGCAGAGCTTTAAAATAACACTTAGTACTGGAATATAGCAGTTTTAATACCCAGTTTGTATATTTCAACTTTATCTTTTAATTAACCCATTTTTGGAATGGGCTATATAATTGATGATAAACATGAGACCATCTAGATAGAAAGCATGTTGAAAGGAGAGAAGGAAACAGTTCCTGAATGGGGGGCATTGACTTCCTGAAAGCCGCCTTCCTGGAGAGAGCAGAGCATCAGGGCTGTCTTTTCCATTTGTAGGCTTCCTGTGTCCAGTATCGGTTAGTGGTCCGGGACGTGAACACCCTTCAGATCCTTCAGCTGTACACCTGCCTGGACCAGATCCAGCACATCGAGTGGTCGGCCGACTCGCTCTTCATCCTGTGTGCCATGTATAAACGAGGGCTAGTGCAGGTACGGTGCCCGCAGGGGCAGAGCCAAGGAGCCTGCCCAAGGTCCCAGCCTGGACGGAATGGTCTTTTCCTGTGCCCTTCTAGTTTGGAAAACAAGGCCGTGCAGTGCAGCTCAAAGCTAGTTTTCTTCTAAAATTATAGTAGTTCTCTAGTAGTTTAAGTACTTTTAAAACCAGAAAACACTTAAATATTCTTAATCTGTAAGCAGCTATAACTCATCCCCGAAGTGTTACAGATGGCCGTCTAGCTGCTTGGAAGCACGCGTGTGGGGAAGCGCTAAGAAGTGGTGTTTGCTTGCAGACCTAAGCTGAGCTCAGTCAGGGCTGAGGGATGGCAAAGTGAGTAAACTGTTTAAAACTACAACAAAGTGAAATCACCAGGAGGTATGGCTTATATGTTGGTGCAAACTAGAACCAGCGCTTCGTAACAGTGAAAGGTTTTGAAAGATACCCTGTGCTTTGCCTCTGCAGTTTTCATCCAGTTGTGTTTTTTGGGGTTTTTTTTGTGTGTGTGTGAGGAAGACTGGCCCTGAGCTAACATCCGTGCCCATCTTCCTCTATTTTGTATGTGGGACACCTGCCACAGCGTGGCTTGATGAGTGGTGCTAGGTCAGCACCTGGGATCCAAACCTGTGAACCCCAGGCCACTGAAGCGGAGTGTGTGAACTTAACCACTGCACTACCTGGCCAGCCCTGACATCCAGTTGTTTTTAAGCTTAATTACTGCATGACTAGTTTGTGATCTGCGTTTCTCTCCTGAGTCTAGGTGTGGTCGCTGGAACAGCCAGAATGGCACTGCAGAATAGACGAGGGTTCAGCTGGGCTGGTGGCTTCTTGTTGGAGCCCAGATGGGCGCCACATTCTCAACACAACTGAATTCCATGTAAGTGTGAAGCCCCGTTAATCAAACGAGGGTGCCTCCTTACACCCCTCCTCCTGAAATGGCTTGAGAGCATGGAATCGGGTGACTTATGGAGAAGGAGGTGTATCTTAAGTCATCAAGCATTATGAGCGCATCAGTGGTGTTATATAACTTTTTTGCCCAGTTTTAAGGAAAAATAAAGCAGGTTTCTAAAAAGAATCTTAAATTACATTTTTAAGGAATTAAAGAGTTCCTTTAATTCAACAATGGAAAATGAACTTCAATATGAGCTAATTTAAATCTTTCCTGTAAGACGTGTGATCTGTGGATGTCGATGACCACTTCATTCATTGGTCCTTTGAACGCTGGGCTGGCCCGGCCCACCGGCACTGCGCTGGGGCTCTGAGTGCGAAGATGAGCGTTTGAAATCTGAGATAGCTTGGGTAGTATGAGTATATCTCATAAATATATCAAATTAGGGAGTTTGGCGTATATAAGGTGTTTTGGTATAAGATCTTTGGTGTCAGCAGTGTTTTTTTTAAATATAGAAAAATGCGTGAATTGCTTTAATAATGTGCTTTTTTGAGGGGGTATTATAACCCAGCATTTGGGCCTAAATCCGCTGAGCGTGTCCCGCGGTCTGGGCTGCCGGACGCCTTGCCGTAGCCTCACCCCCGGCTCAGGGGGCCGCAGACTCTGCATAGGTGACAGCGTGCACGCATGACTGGGGCCACTGTTTGTTCTCGGCCAGGATCTCACTCGGCTTTTCCAAGTTGTCATCGCCAGGGATAAATTCTGTGTCCACCCGTGAGAGGATGGCTAAATTAACTGCTTCAGACAGCTGTGTGGCTTCACATGTTGCTGCTGCGATATTCAAACATCTTTAATCTGACGTCTGCTAAGAGGCTGTTGGGCAGCGAGGCCGGCAGCGAAGGGCTGCCTGGTTTCTTAGCACTGTACGTGTCGGCGTTTGAAAGGTGCTTACAATCAGGGTTCAGAGGTAATCTGAGCTTTTCATATAGCCTCTACTAACAGTCTTGGTGTGTATAATTCTTCGGACCAAATTCCAGCCTCTGGATGGACACATGGCATGGAGTTCCTGTCCCCCGTATGTCAACGTGGAAGAGAAACCGTGTGCCCTTTGGACACGGTTCGGTGAGTAATAGCATGCTCCCCGTCAGGCCGCAGCCAGAGGGCCCCTTATCCTGCCTGTGTTCATCATCTCCTTCCTTTTTTTTTTAAAGACTTGTAAAAAAATTTTTCCTTTTTTTCCCCAAAGCCCCCCAGTACATAGTCAGATATTTTTAGTTGTGGGTCCTTCTAGTTGTGGCATGTGGGACGCCGCCTCAGCATGGCTTGATGAGCGATGCCATGTCTGCGCCCAGGATCCCAACCAGCGAAACCCTGGGCTGCTGCAGTGGTGTGCGAGCCCAACCACTTGGCCACAGGGCTGGGCCCTCCTTCCTTTTCTTGAGGGTCTAGTGTGTGTGTGTAGACGCTGTACCATTTGGTGTGCGTTTGTTGAAGGTTTACTTAGATGAACTGTGCTGTATGTGTTCTCTGGGGTTTCTTTCTCTCTCCGACATTATTTTTGAGATTCTTGCATGTTGAAGGTATGGCTGGTCCTTCATTCCTTGTAAGAAAAATCAGGCCTCGATTTACTTAGCCATTCTACTGCTGCTGGGCATTTGTGTTGTTATGACCCACGTTACCAAGAATGTATTTTGCGTGTCTCCTACCACCCACCTCGAGATGACCTCCCGGGATGTGACCTGGGGGGATTGCCTGGTTATAGGAGAGGGCGTATGTGTCAGGATTTTAAAGTGATTGCCACTCCAGTAGAAACAGTGTGTTGCATTTGGTCTTAATTTTCATTTCCCTAATTATTAGTAGCTTGAGTGCTTTCCTGTCTTGTTTTACACACACACACGCACACACAGTTGAAATTTTTTAGTAGGTTCATGTGGAGTTTATAATGGTGTGTGGTGTGAGGTAGGAGTCAATTTTTATCTATTCTCAACAACATTTGTTGGTAAAATCCATCTTTACCACCTGTATCAAGAGCTAAACTTCTTTATACTGACAGTATCATTTCTGGTTTTTCGTTCTGTTCCATTGCAGGTCCACTGATACCACTCTGCTTACATTAGCAGGGTTTTCTTCTATGTTAGGATCTAACAGGGCTGGTCCCTCTTCGTTGCCCTGGTGGTCTGCCAGTTATTTAATTTTTTATAAAATTTTATTGAGGTCATATTGGTTTATAACATTGTGTGATTTCAGGTGTACATTATTATATTATCAGTTTCTGTATAGACTGCATTATGCTCACCAGCAATAGTCTAGTTTTTATGTCACCATACCTATGTGCCCCTTTACCCCTTTCACCCACCCCTCAACACCCTTCCCCTCTGGTAACCACTAATCTGTTCTCTTTATCCACGTGTTTGTTTATCTTCCACATATGAGTGAAATCATACAGTGTTTGTCTTTCTCTGTCTGGCTTATTTCACTTAACATAATATCCTCAAGGTCCATCCATGTTGTTGCAAATGGAATGATTTTGTCTTTTTTATGGCTGAGTAGTAGTCTGTTGTATATATATATCACATCTTCTTTATCCATTCATCAATTGATGGGCACTTGAGTTGTTTCCACATCTTGACTATTGTGAATAATGCTTCAGTGAACATAGGGGTGCATAGAAATCTTTGTATTGTTTATTTAATGTTCTTTGGATCAACACCCAGTAGTAGGATAGCTGGAGCATATGGTATTTCTATGTTTAATTTTTTGAGAAGTCTCCATGCTGGTTTCCATAGTGGCTGCACCAGTTTGCACTCCCACCAGCAGAGTATGAGAGCTCCCTTCTCTCCACATCCTCTCCAACACCTGTTATTTCTTGTCTTGTTAATTGTAGCCATTCTGATGGGTGTGAGGTGATATCTCATTGTAGTTTGGATTTGCATTTCCCTGATAATTAGTGATGTTGAACATCTTTTCATGTGTCTGTTGGCCATCTGTATATCATATTTTTTGATCAGATTTTTTGTCTTTTTGTTGTTGAGTTGTATGAGTTCTTTATATATTTTGGAAATTAACCCCTTGTCAGATATATGATTTGCAAATATTTTCTCCTAGTTGGTGGGTTGTCTTTTTGTTTTATTCGGGATTTCCTTTGCCTTGTGGAAGCTTTTTACTTTAACGTAGTCCCATTTGTCTATTTTTTCTTTTGTTTCCCTTACCTGAGAAGACATGGTATTCGAAAAGATGCTGCTAAGATCGATGTGAAAGAGCATACTGCCTATATTTTCTTGTAGGAGTTTTATGGTTTCATGTCTTACCTTCAAGTCTTTGATCCATTTTGAGTTAATTTTTGTGTACAGTGTAAGACAGAGGTCTACATCATTCTTTTGCATGTGGCTGTCCAGTTTTCCCAGCGCCATTTATTGAAGAGACTTTCCTTTCTCCATTGTATGTTGTTGGCTCCTTTGTCGAAGATTAGCTGTCCATAGATGTGTGTTTTTATTTCTGGACTTTTGATTCTGTTCCAGTGATCTGTGTGTCTGTTTTTGTGCTATTACTGTGCTGATTTGATTACTATAGCTTTGTAGTATATTTTGAAGTCAGGGATTGTGATATCTCCAGCTTTGTTCTTGTTTCTCAGGATTGCTTTGGCTATTCAGAGTCTTTTGTTATTCCCTGTAAATTTTAGGATTCTTTGTTCTATTTCCGTGAAGAATGTCATTGGGATTCTAATTGGGATTGCATTGAATCTGTAGATTGCTTTAGGTAATGTGGACATTTTAACTATGTTTATTCCTCTAATCAGAGCATGGAATATCTTTCTGTTTCTTTATGTATTCTTTGATTTCTTTCAATAATGTCTTATAGTTTTCAGTGTATAGGTCTTTCACCTCCTTGGTTAAATTTATTCCTAGATATTTTATTCTTTTTCTTGTGATTGTAAGTGGGATTATGTTCTTGACTTCTCTGTCTACTAGTTTGTTATTAGCGTATAGAAATGCAACTCATTTTTGAAAGTTGATTTTGTATCCTGAAACTTTGCTGTAGTTGTTGATTATTTCTAGTAGCTTTCTGCTGGATTCTTTAGAGTTTTCTATATAGAGAGTCACATTGTCCGCAAATAGAGTTTTACTTTTTTCTTTCCAATTTGGATTCTTTGTATTTCTTTTTCTTGCCTAATTGCTCTGGCCAAAACCTCCAGTACTGTGTTGAACAGGAATGGTGAGAGTGGGCACCCTTGTCTTGTTCCTGTTCTCAGAGGGATGGCTTTCAGTTTTTCCCCACTGAGTGTGATGTTGGCTGTGGGTTTGTCATATGTGGGTTTAATAATATGTTGAGATACTTTCTTTCTATACCCATTTTATGAGAGTTTTTATTGTAAATGGATGTTGGATCTCATCAAATGCTTTCTCAGCATCTATTGAGATGATCATGTGATTTTTATTCCTCATTTTGTTGATGTGGTGTAGTATCACATTGATTGATATGCAGATGTTGAACCATCCTGTGTCCCTGGTATAAACCCCACTTGATCGTGGTGTATGATCCTTTTAATGTATTGTTGTATCAAATTTGTCAGTATTTTGTTAAGGATTTTTGCATCTATGTTCATCAGCAATACTGGCCTGTAATTTTCCTTCTTTGTGTTGTCCTTGTCTGGTTTTGGTGTCAGGGTGATGTTGGCCTCATAGAATGAGTTAGGAAGTGTTCTGTCTTCTTCAATCTGTCTTCTTCAACTTTTTGGAATAGTTTGAGAAGGATAGGTATTAAACCTTCTTTGAATGTTTGGTAGGATTCTCCTGAGAAGCCATCTGGTCCTGGACTTTTGTTTTTTTGGGGAGGTTTTGATTACTGTTTCAATCTCTTTACTTATGACTGGTCTATTCACATTCTCTATTTCTTCTTGAGTCAATTTTGGGAGGTTGTGTGACTCTAAGAATATCCATTTCTTCTAGGTTGTCCAATTTGTTGGCATATAGTTTTTATAGTATTTTCTT